TGTTTACGTTTGGTGTGTGCTGGACGTTGTTGCGTGAGCTTCGGATACAGGTGACCCAGGACGATATAGATTCGATCCTGCGCCGCACCTGTCACACAGCATGCCCCAAAGGTTCCCAGAAGTGCGACAGAAGCCAAATAGACTTCAAGGTAGCGTTCCTTGAATGCCGCTCGTCAGTCAAACTGACGAACTGAGCATTCGACGAATGCTTAAATATTGTCCACTGTCCAGATTATGCGTAGACAAGTTAGCCTGTGTTAGGATTTGTTTTCTCTCCCTCAAATTATATGAAACTTAATTAAAATATGGAAAATTATTTTTGTGAGTTATTTTTGCTGTCGATATTTTTTTAATTCTTCAGTTATTATTATTTGTAAGATTTGTTAGTGTTAGTGAGTTATTTTTGTTGGCGATAGTGAATATTGTGGTTATTTATTTATTTATGTATCCATTTTTTTAAATTTAGGTAAATATTAGCAAGAGTGTTGTCGATAGGGAATTTGGTGTAATTATCTACTCATTTATAAATAGTTGTAGTGGTCGGTAAGATTAATATGTATTAGTGTTATTAAAAGTTAGGTTAGTGCCTTGTGGTTAGGAGTCATTCATGGCTGAGAAACGGGGAGTTCCCGAGTGAGAGATCCCGGCGAAGAGGCATCTAGGGAACCTAGGGTGCCCAAAACCACCCATCGATTCCGTAAGCAGGTCGGCAGTGAACGCGGAAATTGCACAAGCCCACCAAACATATTTGCATGCTCTGCCATCTGGCATCAGCGAGTCCATTCGAGATGAGGCGAAAGGGCTTCCTAGAGATGATGAAGGACATCATCAACGTGCTCAGACCGTTGGGGACCCACGCCAGAGAGCACGATTCGGAGCCGGTGGCATCAAGACACATCGCTCCGGTTCCGGAAACAGCTGCCATTCCGTATGACGAAGGGCTCCAGAGCGGAACGTATTCACCGTCGGTACCGCCGAAATCACACAGACAAGGCGCGCGTAGGAAGAGGAATACAGCCCCCAGACCGTGGTTTGTCGGGAGTCCTCAGGCTAGGAACGGGCGCAGCGCCAACAACCGAAACTTCCGGGTGGAGGACCGAAGAGCTGGTGATTTTCCGCCGGAGGCGGACGATAACGAATTTCTAAGGGAAGCCTTGCCGTTTATTAATAAAATCGAAATTTAAACATTGTGTCAAAATATGCAAAAATTAGAAAGACTTACAACTTAAGCGCGACACGTGATGATCACATAAAAACCCTAAGACACTTAATAAATAAAAACAACCCACGGCGAAGAATCGGCCACAGGCGAGACCACGCCCCCATCCTGCAAGTGAGTCTCTTCCATTTCGCCCCTCCTCGCCCGAGTCATTGGCAGAGTCAGACGTAGACTCCTGATTGTGCTCCCTGAAAGAGAGCAGATTTTTTTGCAGTTGTTAAATTGAGTTTTTTTGTTTGTAAATTATATATATATATATACATAGGCACGTACGCCAAGCTCCACTTTAGAGTGCGAACAGTGAGGAAAAACTCCAAAGGTTATGCATATGCGCCTAAAAAATATACAAGTTTAAAATTTGGTACTTGCGCGAATGATACTCACATACATACCCAACTTGAATTAACCCTTTCTATCGCCCCTTACCACCTCCAGAGAGCTCTTTAGGTAGGGAAAGGTAGAATTAAGCGATTTAATATATATATATATATCACCTACCTGTTGCACGACTGATTATCGTGACATACCCGGTTATAAGTATTTGCGTGGGTACACTGTTTTTAAATCGGTGCAACGATTGCCTCATAATTGCCTTCTTGTTTTCGTTTTTGCGGCGCCTGGCAATAACTTTGCAGTGTTTCGTCGCTCGTTCCACTTAAGGTTGTTAAATTAAAATGCATTCTGTAAGATAAGTGAAATTTTAGAAATTAATACACATTGTCCATAATCACAAGTATATGCAACAATTATACGCCCCTGGTGCAGAAACGTTCACGTGCATTATAACGTAAATAACTGAATGGAGATACCTTGTAAAACAGAAAGAAATAAGAAACATTAATTGTTAATAATTATAAGGAATGCAACCAATTATACGCAGCTACTGAAGAGAGAAATGTCCGGCTAAGTCTCATTTGACGGGGAGAGGGGACATAACAGCCGACACGGGTGATGCAGGCCAGCTAGTGGCCAAAATGAGGGAGACGAGATCGAGGCGGTGATCGTCTCAGGTAAGGTACGCTGGGTCCGGAACCGGGACCCGATCTGGAAGAGTAAAGTGGATAAATTATGTTTTTTTGTTAATTTATATTGAGCGTCTCACCTTTGTTGTTTACATTTGCTTGTTGTTACAGCTGTTTATTTTGTTCATGAGTTAGCAGTTCCGAATATTGGTTATCGATCATGTGGTTCATTTTTGAATAGTGTTGTGTGAGTCTGTTTTGCTACAGACGTGTAGCTTTGTTATCGATTGTGCGGACTGCAGGCCAGGGATGGGACTACACCCAGAGAATCCGATGAGCCAGCCGGCGCGGCCCACTGAGAAACAAGCAGTTCCGTAACAATATGGCGCCCAAATTGAAGAAGCACTCGGCTTCTTTGAAGTCGGTGTGTAATCAAAGAAAAATAAATAAGATATAAATGAAGGTACAGAGATAAGGACTCCCTTGGCTTCAGGATCCACACCGCTGAAGTCTTATGTGGCTCGAGTAGGTAGCTCATAATCGCGCAGCGTGTAGTGGAATCCGAGAAGCACGACGGAAGTAGAGAATATCCATTAACATGAGAAGTTTTCTTGTAGTGGTTGATAACGGTAAGTCACGTTCGCATGTTGGCGAAACGTTCGCGACCGTTTATCGTAGCCTGGTGGTAGCCGCCACGACAAAATAACTTGTGATAGAATGTGATATTAGGGTAGGTTTTACTAGAGTTTGTTTAATGTTTTCTATTTGTTTTGTCCTACTCTGTGTTAACGTTTGGTGTGTGCTGGCCGTAGTTAAATGAGCTTCGGAGCCAGGTGACCCAGGACGATATCGATTCAATCCTGCGCCGCACCTGTCACACAGCATGCCTAAAGGTTCCCAGAAGTGCGACAGAAACCAAATAGCCTTCAAGGTAGCGTTCCTTGGATGCTGTTCGTCAGTCACACTGACGAACTGAGCATTTGACGAATGCTTAAATGTTGTCCACTGTCCAGATTATGCGTAGATTAGTTAGCCTGTGTTAGGATTTTGTCTTCTCTCCCCCAAATAATTTGAAACGTAATTAAAGTATGGAATATTATTGTTGTGAGTTGGTTTTGTTGTCGATATTTATTTAATTCTTCAGTTATTATTATTTGTAACATCTGTTAGTGAAAGTGATTTATTTTTGTCGGCGATAGATAATATTGTGGTTATTTATTTATTTATGTATCCATTTATATAAATTTAGGTAAATATTAGCAAGATTTGTCGTCGATAGGGAATTTGGTGTAATCATCTTTTAATTTATAAATAGTGGTAAGGGTCGGTAAGATCATTAAAATTCATTGCTATTAAAAGTTAGGTTATTGCCTTGCGGTTAGGAGTCAATTATGGCTGAGGAACGGGGAGTTCCGAAGAAAGAGATCCCGGCGAAGGGACCTCTAGGGAGTCTAGAGTTCCCAGAACCAACAATCGATTCAGTAATCAGGTCGGCAGTGAACGCGGCAATTGCACAAGCTCACCAGACCTATCTGCAGGCTCTACCATCTGGCATCAGCGAGTCCATCCGAGATGAGTTGCGATCGGGTTTCTTAGAGATGATTTAGGACATGATCGACGTGCTCAGACCGTTGGATACCCACGCCAGAGAGCCAGATTCGGAGCCGGTGACACCAAGACACATCGCACCGGACGCGGAAACAGGTGCCTTCCCATATGACGAAGAGCTCCAGAGCGGAGCGTATTCACCGTCGGTACCGCCGAAACCACATAGACAAGGTGCGCGTAGGAAGAGGGATACACCACCCAGACCGAGGTTTGTCGGGAGTCCTCAGGTTAGGAACGGGCGCAGCGCCAACAACCGAAACTTCTGGGTGGAGGACCGAAGAGCTGGTGATTTTCCGCCGGAGGCGGACGATAACGAAATTAAAAGGGAAGCCCTTGGGAGTGTTCCATGCGAAGGACGGGTGTAGAACAGGGTCGTGGGTGTGGCCTACGTTGGGCATCCTTATTAGCCGGCTTGGTCAATCGAGGAAATGCGCACGCAGATTCCTTGTAACGGTCGTTCATGTCGTTACAATAATCTGCGTGGTGATGTTGCATTTGACGTTATCGGCAGCATCGAGGATTTGCTTAGTTGGTTGCGTGCGATATTATCGGCCACGCCAAAATCTTTTTGTCATATGGTCAGTGTATGGGGGGTGAAGATGGGCCCACAGCGGAGCCCAATTTTTTGAAGGGTGGCAACGCCAGGCTTGCGATCCACGGCGCCAAAAGCGACGATTGCTATTGGCCGCCCGATTCGCTCTTAAAGAGACTATAAGGAGAGTGGATCGCATGCCCTTGGATATGCCCTTGGCCTTCATTTGGGCCGTTGACCCAAAAAAAAATGCAGCTGTGCAGATGGGCAGCAACGGTGCCTGCTTCGCAAATGTATGCGTGTGCCGAAATTCGGCACCGATGTTGCTGCCCAAATGTACAGCCGGGAGTTCGATTTGATCAGCGGTCAACGGCGGGCGTGCCAGCTCGAAGTGAGCATAAAATTATAGTTTTGCACGTCGGTTCAAAAAGATTCGAATTTTTCCATCCGGCAAGTTCAGCCGGCGCGTAGTAGCAAAAAAACTTAACAAACAAAAAAAATCTTGAGTTTTATTTTTTTGCAATTTAATAAATATATGTAAATTAAACCATTCAAGTCACTAAATATATAAAATAAAAGAGACTTAAAACTTAAGTGCGACAAGAGACGAACCAGTAAAAATCAAAGGACTATTAGCAAAATAAACGGCTCCGGCAACGAAGGGACCAGCTCTCGCACCAGAGAAGCCCACGAAACATCCCAAAGGCCAGGATTCGGCTCTGCGGCACACACCAGCTATATCAGCGGCGCACACCAGCCATATCCACGACGCCGCCAGCCAAGCGTCGGCGCAACCCTGAAAGCGACGAGGCGAGCCACCAACGACCGAGATCCAACAGCGAAGAAGCGGCCACAGGCGAGACCACGCCCACACCCTCCGAGTGAGTCTGTTCCATTTTGCCCCTCTTCGTTCGAGTCCTTGGCAGAGTCAGACGAAGACTACTGATTGTACTCCCTGAAAAAGAGCAGATTTTTTTTTCGTTGTTAAATTTATTTTTTTTTGCTTATAAATTATATTCATGTATATATACATAGGCACTTACGCCAAGCTTCACTTTAGAGTGCGAACAGTGAGGGAAAACTCCAAAGGTGATGCGTGTGCGCCTGTAAAATATAAAAGTTTAAAATTTAACAGTTGCGCGAACTATACTCACATACATACCTAATTTGAATTACCCATTTATATCGCCCCTTACCACCCCCCAGAGAGCTCTTTAGGTTGGGTAAGGTAGAATTAAGCGATTTAATACATATATATATATCACCTACCTGTTGCACGACTGGTTATCGTGACATACCCAGTACTAAGTATTTGTGTGGGCACATTGTTCCTAATCGGCGCAACGATTGCCTCAAAATTGCTTCTTTGCTTGTCTCTTTTTGCGGCGACAAGCAATAACTTTGCAGTGTTTCGCCGTCTGTTCCATTTAGTGCTGTTAAAATAAAAAAATGAATTCTATAAGATAAGAAAAAAATTTAGAAATTAATACACATTGTCCATAATCATAAGTATATGCAACATTAATACACACCTGGAGAAGAAATGTTCACGTGCATGAAAACTGAATTATCTGAATGGAGACACCTTACAAATTAGAATAGAGATAAGAAACATTAATTGTTAATAATCATAAGGAATGCAACCAATAATACGCACATATTGAAGAGAGAAATGTCCGGCTAAGTCTCACATTGATGGGGAGAGGGGGCATGACAGCCGACACGGGCTAACATAGGCCGACAAGTGGCCAAAACGAGGGAGACGAGTGAAGGTGATCGTCTCATGGTAGAGCGGGTACGCTGGGTCCGGAACCGGGACCCAATTTGGAAAAGTAAAGTGGATAAATAGTGTTTTTTGTTAATTTATATTGAGAGTCTCACCATTGCTTGTTTACATTTTCATAGTTGTCGCAGCTGTTTATTTTGTTCATGAGTTAGCAGATCCGAATGATTGTGTTATCGATTATGTGGTTCATTTTTGAATAGTGTTGTGTGAGTCTGTTTTGCTACAGACGTGCAGCTTAGTTGTTATCGATTGTGCGGACTGCGGGCCAGAGAATCCGATGAGCCAGCCGGCGCGGCCCACTGAGAAACAAGCAGTTCCGTAACAAAGACTTAATTGTTGGTGTGGCTGTTGAGTAGAGGCGGCGGAAAGCAGCGAGATCAGTAACGAGTTCGAACCCTGATAAGGAGACTATTTTTTTTTTGGCTGGAGTGGCTGTTGCGTAGAGAGGGCAGCAAGTAATGCGGTCAGTTGCGAGTTCGAACCCTGCCAAGGGAATTTTTTTTTTTATTTATCTTTATTACTACTAATGCAAAAGAGCGCATAGCGCGAGCTGCATTTGGTGTTGGAATAAGAGGGATCAGGGTATCGGGAGCTCCCGACTAGAACCTTTTACATGTTTTTCGTGGCAGGTAGTGCGGTCGGACCAGAGTCGATTCCAATTATAATTTTAAATTTTTTACAAATTTTTTATGAATGCTGAAGCAAACACGCCCATAGCCCGAGCTGCATTTGATGTTTTTATAAGAGAGTTTTGGCAATCTGATAGTCGGGCACTCCCGACTAGAGTCACTTACTTGTTTTAATTTATTTGTATTACTTCTAAAACAAACGAGCTCGTAGCGCGAGTTGCATAAGGTGTTTGTAAAAATGGGGTTGAGGGTGTCTACTAGTCGGAATTAAAATATCAGCACGTGTGTATGTGTACAATACATACGCAATTGCAATGCTGTTGATGGAGGATGGACGACGAGCCTTAACATGTATACAGAAATTCTTGTTATTTGCGCTAGCTGCCGATGTCGATTTTTATCGATTGCTTGGAAACGGGGCAAGTTATCCTGTTCCCATTTCCAATGGATTCAGGGTATTCAAATTTGGCAGCTTGCGAGTGTATTTGACTGCAACATAATAATTATTTGAAACATCTATCAAAATTAACTCATAAACATTTTAATTATAGCACCTCCCAAGCAAGTTGTCATTCGTGACAGTGCTAATGTTGAACGTTCAACAGTTGTTGGCCCCTACAGCGAAGGTGACGTTGTGGCATTAAAATGTCAAGTTTTTGGAGGTAAGTGCTTTATCTCAAAATTTATCTCAACGATCCAATTGTTTTTTTTTTTCTTTAAGTTTTAAATTATTGCCTATTTTAACTACGCTGGCCAAAGTGAAACATTCGGCAAAAGCGAGAAGTTTATTACGAGTACCCGACTAAAATACGCTTAACACTCTTCTACCAACACCAAATCTAGCTCGTGCTATGAGCACGTTTGCTAAAGCGACAATAAAAGTTAATAAAACGAGAAAGAAGGGATATCTTCGGCACACCGAAGATTTAATACTCTTGCAGACCCAACCTTTTCATAATGCTCATAGAGCTTTACCCGTACCTGAAAGGCACAGGGAAAATAGTTAATGCCGAGTATGGCATTGAAAAACAAAAATTATTTCATACAACTTAATTTTCGACCGATCGCTCCTATGAAAGCTGTATAATTTATTAGTCCGATGTAAATAAGATTTTGCATGAATATAGGGAACAAATACATTGTACGACTTTTAGCCATTCTTAATGAGTGGTTACAACGAGACGATTGCCTGGAAGTTTATTTTTTAATTTTTTTTTATATTCAAAAAAATCGAAACCATTAAGAAAAATTAATCACGGAGTGAAGTGACCCGACATATAAAAAAAAAGCGGTAAAGAATTAAGCCAATGTTGAAAGTGCGTATAAGCAAAGAAAATATCGAATAACGAATCTTAAGGTTTAATTAAAATTTAATTTTTATTTATTGGTTAATTTTTTTTTTGGGTGTTCCACGAAAGTGATTAATAAACGAACATAAGGAAAACGAACATGAACTGTGTCACAAATGTTAAATAAAAATGAAATATAAAATAAATAATAAAGATTAATAATCAAATAAAATAAATATTTTATAAAATAAATATTGAACAAGAAATAAAAAGCGCGGTATAAGATAAATAACAAAGATTAACAATTTAATAGAATAAACGTAGATAATAGAAATTAAAACAAATGTAACTCAAAGAGTAAACAGGAAAAAAAAGAAAAAAGCTGAACTCCAGGTATTAAGAACGAAAAGCGAAAGTCGAAAGAGGATGGATACGGGTGAGTGAGTGCCCAAATCCTGGGGTGGGAGTACAGTGGATCCACCTACGTTGAAAGGAGGAATTGGAGACGATTGCTCGTGATTTAGGGCTGAGCGAGGGTCGCCAGTTACTAAACTTTGTTTCCGGGGGTCGCACTCGGCCAAAATATGGACTCGGCTAGCCGAGTTGAAGGCCAAATATACGCGACCACCGGAACATAAGGCCCAGCCCGAACCCGAAGCCACTGACTGGGATAGGAAGTCCACGTCCGAGTCGTATTCCGGCCCACGCCTAAACACACCCGGCCTGCTCGAGGTTCCGACGGTCCCGAGCTATAAAGCTCGCGATACGGGCGATAAAATAAATGAGTCGGGCACATCTCGTTTTGCCGAGGGCGCCCTATTAACGCCAGCTCGCCCACCAACGGAAACGAGGGTACACTTCATCGTACCAGAAAAAGTCAGGAAGTTGGGTATGCTATTCGATGGGGAAACTATGGTCGGCGAAGCCGCGCGGTGTTTCATGACGAGCGGGCTACGGGACGCGTCAAGGCCGTTTAAGGAAGGGTTTTTAGAATTTTTCTTGCCGCGTCTAGAGGAGATGGGGAAGGGTTTAAACTGTATGTGGTGGACCTGTGGGCATTAATGCACCATGCTGGCTACAGCCCTGAGAGAGCGAATTTAGCAGATATTACGAAAATGCAGCCCCGGAATAAAAAATGTATGTGCGGAGACACGGATTCTCGTCGTTACCCAAGCTCATACAGTTAGCCGTCGGATACGAGGGGATAGGATAACAGGGTCAACAGTATTCGCCAGGTTCACGATCTCGGCTAGTAGTATGGTCACATCGACAAACGTGCTGGACAACCAGTTTAGAATAGATCTACAGCTGGTTATCGGGACGGCTTCCGGTAAAACAATCCCCAGGCCGTTGCTGATGCAACGAAGAGAGGCCACCAACAGAACCAGGGGCACCGGCCAGGTGGCGTCTAATATATATCATCCATGCGCGTAAGAGGGTCATTTTCGGAGGGAATGTCCCAGTCCCCAGGCCATTTTCTGTGAGCAATGCGGCGATAGAGGGGTGAGCAGCCATGAGTGTTGTAGGCGACCGGCTCAGGGAAACGATCAGCGGCGACACCCGGACAGTTAGCATCTGGACGACAACGCCAACGGAACCAGTAAACGTAATGCGAGTCGAGGGGGGTGTGTCGTCGCGACGATAAGGGAGAGAGTCCTGGAGGCGCGGTCGGGCAATAAAGGTATGTCCAGGGTGCCAGTAGGAATACCGAAACGGGAGCGTATTGGTGGCTTGATGAGGGGAAGGGAAGAAGAGACAGGCGACGACAGAGGTTAGCGGAGGCGGGATTCAAAGCCCGCGTGTGGATCAGCACCAAAGAGCGCGAAGCTTGGAAGGGTGGATCCCACGAGCATGCTAGCAGGCGAGTTAGCCACGGGGGAGAACACGGTCGCGGGAGCCCGCCACGAGGCTAGTGGGGGCGAAGGGTCTGGAATGGGTAGTCCGGACAGTGAGGATGTCTGGTCAGCAGACCTGGAGCCTGGTGTTCAAGTATTTCTGAAGGAAGAGCTGGCACGATTCGAGGGGCTGGAGGGCGTATCCCATATAGCCAACCACGTATCGTAATATGCAGTGAGTCATCGATGAACAAATGTAGTGCGCCGATCGTGCTTGTAATGAAGAAGACTGGGGAATGGCGAATGTGCATCGATTATAGGCAACGCGCATTCGTTCCCAGATACATCCCCAATACCTCGGATAAATCACATACTGGAGCATTTACGACACGCACGCTATATATTTATGTTGGACTTAAAGCAAGGATACTGGCAAATACCAATAGAGGAGACTAGTAAGTACTTTGGGCATGTGGTGAGCGATTAGGGAATTCACATGGATCCTGCAAAAGAGCTGGCCACACAGAGGTTAACGGCTTCGTCTAACTGCAAGGAGCTGCAACAGTGCCTGGGAATGGCATCGTTGTATCGACGATTCGTGCCAAACTTCGCATCGGTCGTGCAGCCGATGACCGATCTCCTGATGAAAGGGAAGGCATGGTCATGGGACGTGGAACAGAAGGCCGCGTTGGAGCAACTCAAGGTGCGACTTACAACAGCGCCGATCCTCGCCTGCCCCGACTTCAGCAAGAAGTTCGTGCTACAGACGGACGTGAGCGACCAGGGCCTTGGCGCTGTCCTTACTCGGACCATCGACGAAGAAGAAAGAGTCATTGCTGATGCCAGTAGGAAGCTCTCGAGGCCAATTATTCGGCCACGGAAAAGGAGTGTCTGCCCATAGTATGGTCTATTCGTAAGTTAAGGTGTTATTTGGAGAGATATCGGTTCGACTTCATCATCGACCACATGGCGACCACATCAAATGTCTCGATTCGAAAGAGTGTCCGTCTGTAAGGATCGCTCGATGGGCCCTAGAGTTGGAGCAGTTCCAGTTTGACGTGCAGTACCGAAAAGGGAAACTGTACGTGGTAG